TCTTTATGTATACCACAAGCGAGGAATGAGTCAGAGCGTTGCGCCTTTCAGGCGTGCTTGATTGATTGTTCATGACTCACATGAGTCGGTTTTCAATGAACACCGACTTGGGGTGAGTCAATTGTGAGACAAATTTTGCCAATACAATCCAAAGGTGAAACCGAATGCACTATCGGAGGGCAGCGGGTATTCTGTGTAGCTGCCGCTCAGTTCCACAACACCTGCCTTTCCCGGACGTAGTCACTTTGGCTAGTCAATGATCTGCGCTACTGGCTTTCTTATGCGTGGCTTGGGGAGGGTGCGTGTGAAGATATTTGCGCAGGAGGTCTTTGAAGATGCAGGTGCAAAGATTCAAGGATAGAATGTTTTGTTAAATCATCACGAGAAATGTCATAGGCGCCAGAGGGGCGCCGGGGACAGCCAAGGGATCTTCAGCCACAACTGTGTTTGGTAGAGTTTGTTCGCGGGCTGAGGTACTAGCAAACTCTAATTCTCAGGATACACACAACCGCGTCCAGGCTTCGGCGCCGTCAAGACTTCAAGACTATCCTCAACAATGGCCTCCCGCCCGACCGTAAACGTTCGCTCGACCTCTGGGGGTGCGTCGCGCAGCTGGTGAGGTGAACGCAACTAATGTAGTACTTTTCATCCAGAGGCTTCGAGCTCGCTCCCGCTTCCTGCGGTCCTTACCGCCCCGATCCGACTTGATGTCGTGCAGCAGGTGCACAGTGAGTAGCATTGTCTTGCAAAGGCCAGAAAAAATACTCTAACCCTCGTGCAGAGAGCATCGCGAAGAACAAGAGGCAGGCGTACTCCGTTAGCGAGAAGGCTGGCCACCAGACTAGTGCCGAGTCCTGGGGTACCGGTCGTGCTGTTGCGCGTATCCCCCGTGTCGGTGGTGGAGGTACCCACCGCTCCGGCCAGGTATGCAGCTTGGTTGTCACTGGTCGCGCCCGCATTGCTTACAGTAAGGATAGGCTGCCTTCGGTAACATGTGCCGTGGTGGTCGCATGTTCGCGCCCACCAAGATCTGGCGCAAGTGGCACGTAAAGGTGAACCAGGGCCAGCGCCGCTTCGCTACCGTCTCGGCACTCGCTGCGTCCGCGCTCCCGTCGCTCGTTCTCGCCCGCGGCCACCGCATCGAGGAGATCGAGGAGGTTCCCCTCGTCGTCTCTTCTGCCGTCGAGTCGTTCAAGAAGACCAAGGAGGCTGTCGCCCTCCTCAAGTCCCTGAAGGCGTACTCCGACGTCGTCAAGGTCTCCAACTCGCGCAAGCTCCGCGCGGGTAAGGGCAAGCTCCGGAACCGTCGTCACCGCCAGCGCCGTGGCCCTCTCGTTGTTTACAACGAGGACAACGGTATTGTCAAGGCGTTCCGCAACCTCCCCGGTGTTGAGATCGTCAACGTTAAACGCCTCAACCTACTTCAGCTCGCGCCCGGTGGTCACCTCGGCCGCTTCGTCATCTGGACTGAGAGCGCTTTCGGCCTCCTGGATGAGGTCTTCGGTACCTTCGACAAGCCCGCGGTTTACAAGAAGAACTTCACGTAAGTTAGGTCGATCAGATCGTACACATCATGCTCATGCATCTCTTCTAGGCTACCCACCGCGAAGATTAGCAACCCCGACGTCACCCGTCTCATCAACTCGGATGAGATCCAGTCCGTTGTCCGCCCCGCGGGCCCCAAGCACCAAAAGCGCCCCTGGACGCAGCACAAGAACCCCCTCGTCAACAAAGCCGCTCTCTTCCGCCTGAACCCCTACGCGAAGACCATCCGCCGCCAGGAGCTCCGTAAGTGCACTGTCGAATCATGGCAGACATCGGTATTCACAGAGGCGGTGCAGTCAAGCAGGAGCGTGTCAAGGCACAGAAGGACAAGAAGAAGGCCAAGAAGCCCAAGGCTGCTGGCGAGACTTTCTTGAACACCCTCTTCGCTGCATAAGCAGGCACGAGAGGTTGAAGGGCGGGTCGATGCTATGCGTTCTGGCACCTATGATCAGACTTATCGTTGTTACAACATTCCCATGTCTTTTTATGACGCATGCTGTTGATTGCTGCTGTATGGCAAACGACATCTGCGTGGACTGAGTTGAGCGAGACGAAGCGTGTCCGCGCCGAGGTGGGTGTATCTACAGTGAGAAGAAGATTGGATGTGCGACAGGACGAGAATCGGGTGTGGGCTACCGTGCGCGGTATATGTGAAGGATGCTGCGAACGTATCAAATCATAAGGAACATGGGGCATGTTAACGTTACAAGTAGACAACCTGGATGAGTGAGAACGTGACTAGTTGCGAGTTCATGTGTATGCAGTGATTGATCAGCGCGTCGTTCAGAAAGCCCGCCTCGCACCAACTGAGGGGATTCTCGCCGTCGGGGCCGATGTCTTCCTCGCCCCTGCGCTAGGCGCCGGCAGTCGGGACGCCGGCCTGGGAAGTGCTGACGAAGGAGGCTTGCTCGACGGGATACCACTGGCTGCGGGGGCCTTCAAACCGGAAGTACCCGCAATCCTCGCAACTACGCCAGCACCCGTGGTACGACCAATGCTAGTGGGCCGGGCTGCAGCAGGCGCACTGCTCGTCGCCGTCTTCTGCGCCCTCGCGGCGACGGTTGCCGCAGCCTTGAAGGTCTGCAACGGGGGCTGCGCCCGCTGACCCTGCTGCAGATTCGGGCGCTGCAGGCCGGCGGCAGCAAAACGCGCCGAGGCCTCACGGGCGAGTGACATGCGCGACTTCGCTTGGGTTGTCGAAGCCGTGGTGCGCGCCGGACCGATGGCGGGGGCAGGAGGAGGCCGAACGACGACGCGGTTGTTCATGATCTCTGCGCCTGCCGGGGGACGCTGCACGCCACGGACGACAGTCCTTGATCGTACGGGCTCGGGAGCGGCAACTTTCTCTTCATTGGCGCTGGTCACAGAGTCGTTCGCGACGCTGGTGTCGGGTGAGGCAGAGCGCGCCCTCGAGGAGCCTGTGCTCCCACTGGACACCGATGGTCCTGAGCTAGTCCCAGAATCCGTGCGCCCGTGCACATTCCAAGTCTTTTTCAGTATGCGGAGCGCGGGGACTGGCGCGGGCGCGACGGGCGTCGGGGACGGCGACAGCTCGCGGAACACCGGAGCGGGGGATGACCCCGCCAACATTGAAAGGGATCGGCTGCGGTCACGCTTGGTCAGCGTGGCACTGTTGCTCGACGTAAACGATGGCGCGACTTCGAACACTTTGGGCGGTGTCTCGATGATTGGGCTGGATGCCGGAGTGACCTCAAAAAAGGGTTGAGTCCCTTCGTCGGCACGAGCCTCCTCGGGACGTGATGTAAGAGCAGCGTCTAGAGTGTCTCAGCGAGACACTCGGAGAGAGCACAAGCAAGACCCATACCTAGTTCCATGGCATTGATATCCTTCCGGCTCTGCTCCGCTCGCTCAAATGCATTCGCGGCCGCCTCCATCTTCTTCATCTCGGCCGCCATATCGAACACCTCGTCTTCATCGTCGCCAGCCACCCACATTGAGTCACCAGCCTGGAAGGAAATCCTGTCATTCAGCAGGTCGAACGACAGCTCTGCGGACTGCATCTGCATGCAGAAGGACGTCTGCAGGTCAACAGATGCCCGGCGAGGATCGTCGTTCGCCACGCGGGTCCTTAGCAGAGGGCGGCGCGTCGGGGGCGGCATGTTGGCATTGGACGAGGTGAACATGCGGTCCGTCGGTGATTCGGAGGAGGTCGGAAGGACGAGATCGGTCAAGGAGTTTGACTCTTCGTATGTACCAGTGGGGGAGCTAACGGTGATGAGCAGAGGAATGCAGACCGTGTCCTCGGGTTCTCCATGACGTGCCTCGAGCTCCTCGTCACAGTCATCAAAGTCGGCGTCCTCTTCCTTCAACGGCGGGAGTGGGCTGCGGTTAGCGAGGGGACTGGGCGGCGCTGAGCCTGAGATGTTCAAGGCTGAAAGGTTGATCGAGTTGATGACGTCCGCTAGGGGGGCGCCAGAAGGCGCAGCGGACACTGCACGGAGCGGGGTAATGTCTCCTGGTCCATCGAAGAGCCAAGTGGCTAGGGATCCCTCCATACGAACGGGTTCTTTGACGGCCTCTTCGATCTCAATATCTGCCAAGGGTATTCTGTCCACGGTGACTTCGCTCGGTTGCTTGGTGGGTCCAAATACTACGACGGGCAGTACAGCGGCGCGCTCCTCCTCGAGACCACATAGGTCGTCAGTGTCACCAAAGTCAATGAGCTTGCCGTTTGGCGTCTTGGGTATTGCATTCTTCTGAGACTTGTAGATCCTGTTGAAGAACATCGTCACTTCTCCCGGCTGGACATCGTTCTCCTTGTCTGAGCAGCTAGAGTCGGGAGACCCGTCCCTCCGTGGTGTTGTGGTGGACTCTAGGGGGTCAAATAGGTATAGGACACTGTTACGGGGCTTGCTGGCCATCGTGAAGACGTCGTCAGGTCGTGGAGAAGTGCTGTAGGCTCGTCGGTCGTGCTGGTGGTTGAGCGTGGAGACGGTGGCCAGGCGCCAATCGCGGTTCGCTTTCACGGCGCCCCCATCGGTGAGCGATCATGTGATCGTGATCCGAATACACGTTGACAACACAAAAGGACTCCCGGTAATACGTCTCCGATATCTGTACGTCCGCGCTGACTTAAAGGAGTTGGGGAAGACGATGATGATTTCGCCCGATTTCCGCCGGTCTTCCCTCTTCAATGCCAACAATGTCCCTGAGCATGTGGCGCAGACTACGGTGATCCCAAACCTGGAGGGGAAAAGCCCACGTGTTTGGTGACCACATATTCTTGTCCCATTGAGATGTAAGTATTGGCTACAGTAAGCGGGTATGGGCTCAAGATACCGAACAGAACCGCGGGATAGAATACTAAACAATACCATTCGTAGTAAAGAATAAACGATGCAGATTACTCGCACGGGTCTTTAACATGGCAGAAACTTTGCAGTAGGACATATACCATGTACTTGAGGATAAGGAGGCAAAAGAACAAAAACATGCGACCAACCTGGGATTCGAACCCAGAATCTTCAGCTTGTCATTTTCAAGATTGAATGTCGATTCAATCTTGAGAATGCCGGAAACTGACGCCTTAACCATTAGGCCAGCCGGCCGATAAGTATGTATCCTTACACGGTGATATCATCAGTGATACGGAAGCCCGAAGCTGTCGCAACAGAAGGGACTACATTGTATGCGTATGTGCTGGTAGATGCTTTGTTGATCCAAAGACCCCATTTCCTGGCCTGGACTGCTAGACAGTATGGCCCCGAATGCCAGGGTCACCGTCAGCGCTCCCTCACCGAATGATGCACTGCCAGTGGTGACCGGACATGCCAATACGCGCGCATTCGAAGCACAACGGTGGTCCAGCACTCGACATGTGCCAACGCGCGTAGAAACACAGAGGGAAGCAGGACTCACGACAGGTAGCGTGTTGCTTTACAACGGTCATACGTGATTCTCGTCCCCCGGTCGAGTTCAAGTTCACGGCACACATAACGCATGGAGCCACGCGCTGGCGTTCTTGGGTCAGCTGGTGTACGTTCCTTTTGTCGTGTATGTATGGCGCTCGCAAACACCCTCTTTCTCCTCCACAGAGAACAGATCCTAGAAGTTGACAATGGCAGTGAGTCAGGTGTGGCGATACCTGCGCGAAACACCCCTGCCCAATGACACACTATTCCTTACTTCGATATGATGGCCGCAATGCCCGACGGATTGTCCTCCCAGCACCAGGGTGCTTGAAGGCAGGCGATATATCCAACACAAGTTCTATCGCATCAGCCTCGTATACCGAAGGTCTGCACGAGCTCGTATCACAATCACAAACCAGTACTTATGTGATATTTCAATTTCCTAACAGACGTTCATCACACCCCTTTTGGGATGTAATTGTTCTCTATATTGACGTGTGCGCAGAAACATGGACGGTACACAGGCATTCATAACTTCATGTCTAAGTGTGAACGAGAACAGACGCGGTCCGTCGCATGAACATGATGTGATTTGGAACAACGAAAGATGAATGAGCAGAAGTGGGCGATCAATGTGTCTTTGCGAAGCCTGGTATGAATAGGGCTGACACAGGGGTGGTCTTTGGGTATGATACGGACGTGTGCTGGGGAGATCAGAATGCATGCACAAGACGAATAGGCTAATACTAGGAGTGGAAGTTACTTTACGTTGCAGTGTTGATCTTAGAGCATCGGTACAATATCGTCAGGTCGTGGTCGTGAGGTGGCGCAATTAGCAGGGACTAGATTCGACACCCCATCGTTGGCGGATGGGGTCATCAGGCTTCGTGTCTGGGTGGACTTGCGTGTGGCCTTGCCAAAGCGCGGCTGACGACTTCGAGGGATCAAACTGTGCTGGGTCCGCGAGACCGTTCGGGCTTAAGGGTGCCCGTCCAATGGACGACGCAATAAGTGTCGGAACCATCGTCATGATAGACGGCCTGTAAGCATGATCAGCGACAGCGTCAAGAACCGCGCGGTGCTGGACTCACAGTCCAAGTTCAGTCTCCGGAAGCGAGCGCGCCCGACGGCTCCTATCCACATACGATGACGCCCGCATACGACCGCCGCGGACATGCGCAAACGTATTGAGGTTGTCTTTGACAAGTTCGATAGCAGTATTCCAGTCGCCATTCGCGCGAGCCGTCGGCAAGACTGCAGGTGGCTTGGGCAGAATCCGTAGCGCCTTCAAGATGCGTTCTACCGGCGCGTTGGGGACGCAGCGGATGAGCGCGCCCAGGGGGATCGAAACGAGGCCAAGAGCGAGGCTTATACCCCACTCTGCACCTCCGATCCGCGTCACGCTGAAAGCCGCGCCGCCTACGAAGACAATGAGTATCTGCACGGCGATTTCTACGAGACACAGTCAGCGGTCAACACCATCCAGAAAGCGCAAGCGCAACGACCTACCGATAAGCGTGATCACCATAAAGTAGTAGTTCCGCGTGATGCCCTCAAAGATGTTGAGACGATTGTCCAGCCGCCGGCAGTTCACCGAGTTCGCGATCTGAGCAAAGACAAAGATATTGAACACCGTCGTTTGTGTAGTCTCACTGTTGTAATTCGCATCGAACGCAAAGATCTGCGCGCCCAAGAAGTGGAACAAGAGCACGATGAGCACCTGGTACGCCGACTGGCCAAGGATCTGCTTGTACATGTCGACCGAGAACAGCGGAGCCTTCCTCTTGTCGGGCTTGCGATCCAAGAGCGCAGGAGACGCCGGATCCGTCGCTAGAGCGAGCGCCGCAAACGTGTCCATGATGATATTGATCCAGAGCAGCTGCACCGCCGAGAGGACCGACGACTCTGACGCGGACGCAACGGCCGTCACAAACGTGACGATTACCGCAGTGATGTTCGTCGAGATCTGGAACTGCAAGAACTTGCGCACCGCGTCGTTCACGCAGCGGCCCCACATGATCGCCTTCACGATCGACGCGAAGTTGTCGTCCATGAGGATGATGTCCGACGCTTCCTTCGCGACCTCCGTGCCGGCGATACCCATCGAGAAGCCCACGTCCGCGGTCCTAAGGGCAGGTCCGTCGTTCGTCCCGTCCCCCGTCACACCGACGATCTCACCGAGCTCGCGAAGCTTCTCCACGAGCAGCTTCTTATCCTCGGGAGACGACCGTGCAAGGACCTGCAGACGTGGGACAGCTTCCAACAATTCCTGGTCGTTAAGCTTGCGAAATACGGGGCCCTCCATGATCAGCCCGCCCTCAGTGAAGATCCCACATTGCATCGCGATCGACCGCGCAGTGAGTACATTGTCGCCAGTGCACATCTTGACCGTGACGCCCGCCTTGAAGCATTCCGCGACCGCGTCCCGGACACCGTCCCGCAGAGGGTCCTCAATCCCCGTGATAGCAATGAGGGTCATATCGTGCGCCAAGTCCTCGTACTCGACCTGGAGCAATCCCTCAGAAGCCACGCGCACCCATTAGAGAAACGCACTCACCTCGTCCTCCGCAGTGTACGACGCACCTGCAGGTGGCCAGGCCTCGAAGTCCCGATAACACAGCGTGATCGCGCGCAGCATCTGGTTCGCATAGAAAATCGTCGTCCGCGACACATTGTCCCGCGCAAGGTCGTCCATCTCCTTCGTCTCAATCCCCGCGGCCTCCTCGCCGCCCTCCACCGCGCGCAGCACGCTCACGTACCGCGTGCACTTGCGCGCGAGGATCTCACTCGCGCCCTTAAGGTACACACGCCAGTGGCCCTCGCCGAGCTTCACCACGACGCCCATCGCCTTGCGCGAGCTCGAGAACGGCATCATCTGCACGATCTCCGCGGACTCCCGCGTCTGCTTGTAGTCCGCCCACCCGAGCTCCTTCGCAAACTTGAGTAGCGCCGTCTCCGTCTTGCTCCCCACGAACACGAGCTCGCCCGTATCCGGGTCCTCGTCCTCGAACGCCGTCGAATTGACCGCGATCGCCTCGTTAAACAGCGTACGCAGCGCCGGGGTCAGGAAGTCGTTCATCTTGGCCTGATCGACCGAAAAGTCCTGCGAATGCTTCCGCTTCCCGTTTGTCGGGCGCGTAGATACACCCTGCAACACGTCCTCCGCCTGTCTGTCCTGGGTCTGCTGGTCGCCCTCCGCATTTGTCCGCGCCCTGTTATCAGAAAGGTTGCGCACAAACTTGCAGTGCACCCCAATAGTGCCCGCGACAATGGTCATGCTGTTCTGGGTAAGCGTGCCCGTCTTGTCCGTGCACACCACGCTCGCATTGGCCATCGTCTCGCAAGAACCAAGCACGCGCACAAGAAGGTTCTCTTTCGTCATCCGCTTCGTGGCGAATGCAAGCGCCAGCGTGACCGCCAAGGGCAGCCCTGCGCACACAACTGTCAATTTCGAAATCATCTCGTGGCGTGGCTCACGCACCTTCTGGGACGGCCACGACAATCAACGTCACCGAGATGATCAAGATGTTCACGAACGCGATGCCCTTCTGGTTCGCCGTGCGCGGCGGGTTATTCGTGCCGAGCTGGACGAAGAACCGGATCATGAGCGCAATGAACAGCGCGAGGCCTGCGATGCTACCGAGGGTCGCGATGAGCTCTGCGAGGTTGTTGAGCTTGAGCTGGAGGGGCGTGTCCTCCGTCTCGCCTCGGAGCGCTAGAGAACGCGATAAAAATAGGTCAGCGAGATGTCCCCACGTGGCGATCGAAGCGCGTAGGACGGGGGCGGGGTGCATGCGAGCGGACATAGAAGACAGACACGCACCCATCATGATACGCCCATTGAAGCTCTTGGGACCTACAGCGATCACAACGTAGCTCCCGTAGCCCTCCAACACCTTGCTCCCGCTGACCATAAAACAATCCGAGTGTCCGTGCTCCGTGTGGCTGTCCCGCGCGCGAATCGCCTCGTCGTAATCAATCTTGCGAATCGCATCACTCTCGCCAGTAGCGCCACTTTCGTCGCACCGGACGTTGTGGCCACCGAGGAACACCCCATCGCACGGGACGATCTCACCCGGCTCTAGCAATGCGATATCACCGACGACGACGTCGTGCACATCAACAATACGCTCGTCGCCCGCACGGATGACCTTGACGCCACGCTCCTCCTTCTTGTCGTTGAGGGCCTGGAACTGCCGCTCCTTCTGCCAGTCGTTGATCGAGCCGACAAGGACCTATGGGCGCCAAATGACAGTCGGATATGGAAGGTGAGTAAGAACGAAAGCAACGCCCGGGGACCGCGCTACGCACCACTATAAGAATCGCGACGATAATTGCCACTCCTTCCACCCAATCCACCGGAGGCTCACCAGCCGGTCTTGGCGTGCCAAAGTCCTGAAAGAACCCAAGCGCGAGCGAAACAACGGCAGCGATGCTCAGGAGCACCTACACACGCGGTAAGATACCCAGCAGCGCGCAGACTGTAGACAGTACGCACCAAAACCTTGTCCTTCATCGCAAGCCACATGAGCTGCAACAACGACTTTGTTTTGCGCGTCGGGAGCACATTGGCGCCAAAGACGCGTCGCCGCTCCTCGAGGGATGCGTTGTACACCTTCTCGTCATCACCCTCCTCCGCATGGCCATCAGCGGAATGCAGCCCGCCACGGCTCACATCCACCTCGCTTCCCGGGCCT